AAAAAGAAAAGGGTTGCCCTTTAGCCTGGACCAGGAACAAAAATATTATGTTATAGCAATATAAGCATATCTCATATGATTTCTAACTGAACTCCATCTTTCGATTAATCTGTTCTGTACTTTAGCCATATTTTCCAGAGACTGGATACATATGGTTACTTATATGTAGCACAACAAAGATCCAAACAGACCAATTTGTTACGTAGTTTCTTTCTCCATGATAATCCAAAAATAGTATGGATAAACAAAGATCATTGTTTACAAGGGGAAACCCAATTCCCCATTTTTTTAAAAAAAAAAATAGAAAAAAGAGAAAAAAGGAAAAGCCATAGAACTTTGGTATAGAAAGTTTATTCAGGTAGAACCAAAAATCATAAGCCAGAAGAGGGAGTGTATTGCTACTTGACCCAGTCCAAGTAGTTTAGTGAGTTTATTCACAATATCTCTACAAGTTATCTCGTAAGCCAAGAAAAAACTAAGACCTGCTAAGGTCAGCAGCAAAGCTCCAGTAGGCTACTTACAAAACTAGTGATAATAGTTCAAAGACTATACTCTGCCTAGTTCAGGACGTTATTCCTCACGCTGTTCAATATTTTTTTCTTGCTGGGTGATTGAGGTTATTTCTTGTAGTATTTTTCTGTTTACTCCATTTCAGTTCTAGTAATCGTCGGAAAGAGTTGACCATTTAGAATATAGTTGATCTCTTTAAAACTGAATTTAGATTTGATAACGAAGCAGAATTTGACTGAACTTATATTTACTTTTTAAATAAGAAATTCAAGAAAACTCAAGGAAAAGCAACTAGACCTTTAAGTTGGAAAAGCTCTAATACCTAATGCTGGTGTTGGAATATTTTACTTAGACAAAGTAGTAAATGTTATCAATGCGAAGCTAATTGTAAAGCATGGATTACTTTAAAACAAGTATCCTTACAAAAATTACTTGTATATTGTTCAGAAAACTTACCTCCTCAGTATTATGAAACTTTCGAAAACTATGAAGAAGAAGTTTTCATGATGGCTATTGATAATGAATCTCCTACAAACCCTCTAACCCTAATGAACCCTAATCATTACCAAGACATAATAACAACTCTTGAACCAATCTTATATGAAAATTATAGTTTAACTTCATATCAAGACATAGAGTTTACCTCAAATAGAATTCATTATGATGGAATGTACTATACCTGATATTATATTGAGTATATTAGTCTTCGATTAAAACAAACTTTTGGAAAATATGCTTGGCCAAGGGACTGGAAAGAACTTGCTGCACAATATTGGTGTAGTAATAAATTATACTCACCAAGTGATGAATGTATCAAATATCGAATAGACCTATGACTCTGGCTTACTATTCAACAATATCCCTTAGAAGAAATTGCCAAAAGTTATTGGCCTACTCCTGACTTTGATGATGAAGAAAATAATAGTGATACTATACTTGAAACACCTTTTGAAATGAATCTTTTTGATGATACTTTTGTTGAAATTCCTTTTAATGAAACACTGATTAATAAATATCTTCTTAGTGACTATGATGCTAATGAAGAAATTGATACTTTTAGTATGGATATTGACTATCATTCAGATATAGAAGAAATAAGTTTAGAACAACATTTGTCAATATATTCCTAGTGGTTACCACCTTTACAGACACCTTCACCAGAACACCTTCTTGAATTTAATAATTATTCAGAACATTATCTTTGTAATGCAGTT